TTGTGCTTTTGGTTCTCCAATTTTGAGGTAGATCCGTGAGATTCCCCTGAATTTTTCCTTCCATGCCGTCGGCCTCCCCCAACCTCCAGCTCCGGCCTTGCTTATTGAATTCCGGTATGGACAGCTTCCTTTAAGTCCAATTTTACCCATTTAGCTGCTGTTTGAATTTTCCTATGTTGTCCAAAAATTTGCCGAAAATGGGGAGGAATTTCGGTAGCATTTTAAATGTGTTTTAAGCTTGATTATGTAGAATTTAGCTTGAATTGGATACTGTGATGTTTTGTGTGAAAATCCCGTGTGTGTGAGTGTGGTTTTGCCAAGCTCGGTTCCTCCATTTTGTCCGTTGGAAGTTCCTGTTGAAATGGAGGAGTTTTGGCAGCCTTAAAACATGGGTTTTAAGCTTGCTTAACGTAGAAAATTAGCTTATTATGACCGTTGTGAGATTTGGAGAGAAATCGCGTGAATTTGCTATGTTTTGCCAATTTTGGAAGTTGAAGTTACTGTTCATGGATACTGTTTATAGGTACTGTTCATGGATACTGTTCACACACCGCGGGTCAACGATTAATGGGGATTCAAATGATTAGTTTGTGATATAAGAATAAATTTGGAGATGTCCAGTTATGTGGAAATTGATAGAAATAGCACCGTGATGAGGGGTAATGCTAATGATGATTTTACTTTGAATTTGTGGTAGTGTGGTATTAATTGTGGAATATTGTGATTAGGTTTTGATCGTTCTGTCACCGTAGCACTTGGGTTAGCCTTCTGTTCTGTGCGAGTGAGGTAAATAAATTATGGTAAAGCCCTTTGATTTTAAAGCATGTTTTAAACTGTTTTTGAGATGGTGGCAAGCTTTAAATTGATTTTATCAGCATCTGAGTGTGATTAAACTGAAATGTAAATTGTGATGGTTTCTATGAGAATTTCATTGTTTTTCTGAAATGGAGCATGATTGGAATGAAAATGGGAATTTCAATGTTTTCTGGAATTGAGCATGATTGGAATGAAATTGTTTTCATTGCATTGAGTAGAGCATGCCTATTTGAAATTGACTGAACTGTTTTGATGAACTGAGAGTTTGCAAATTTTGAGTTTTCTGTTAAATCCATGCTCACATGGAAAATTTTTGGTTATTTCTGAAATTGGAGATTGATTGTGAATTTCGGGTTTTTTTGTAAATTCTGCATGGTTTTGTCTCGGATATAGTCATGATTACTAACGCCCGCTAGTGGGAGCTGTAAACGCTAGCACATGTCGACATGTATTTCTGTAGAACCGGTTCACCCTGCCAATGGGGTTAAACATTGGTTATTACTGACACCTGCCAGTGGGAGTTGTTAAACACTGGTACCATTACTGACGCCTGCTAGTGGGAGTTTGTTAAACACTGGTACTTCTGAAACTCTGCTAATGGGGTTAAACATTGGTTATTACTGACGCCTGCCAGTGGGAGTTTGTAAACACTAGTACCATTACTGACGCCTGCCAGTGGGAGTTTGTTAAACACTGGCCATGACTTATAGATGAGACTACTGATGAGTTTTATTATGCATGAATGGTTTATCATTGAAAGTTTTATTATGTTTACATGGTTTGTCATGAATACTTTGCAATTGAACTGAATCTGATTTTGTCATTGAGCGTTTTGTTATATTAAACTGTTTGTCTGGCATGCTTAAAAGTTTTACCCAAGGGCTATCCATATTTACTTACTGAGTTATCTCATAGTTTTCCTTGTCCACCATTTCAGGAAGCGAAACCGATGACGGGAAAACCGAGGGGAGTGACGAGTTATAAGGCTAGCCACTTGTAATTGATATATATTTGAGATATAGATCATGATCTTGTAAGTTAGAGTGTATTTGGAGATTTTATAATATCAGAGTAAATTTTAAAGATTTTATCTTAAGATTTTGGTGGTATCAGATTGTGATTTGAATAAATTAGATTGTAATTGGAGATTTTATAAATTCATTTAATGGATTGTTAGTTTATAAGAGATTTGATCTGGAGATTTTGAGGTTAAGTCATGTGGACATAGAATTAATTTTGAAATATCCGATCTAAGTTAATGGATTGTCAAATGTGAATTGGATAAGTTCCGAGCCTTGTGCATTCGTGGGACCCGTTCACGAGTGCATGGCGTCTGTCGCGCCTCCGATTTGGGTTTTGGGGCGTGACAACTTCGCTTCTTGAAATGGTGGACAAGGAAAAACTATGAGATAAACTCAGTAAGTAAATATGGATAGCCCTTAATTAAACTTATAGCATGTCAACATGTGCAATCACGAAAAACGGATACAGTACGGGAACGAAATAGATGTTTCCTCTATAGGTCATGGCCAGTGTTATAAACCTCCCACTGGCAGGCTACACTTGAACGAACCGGTTCTATCACTAACATGTCGACATGTGCTAGTGTTTAAGCCCCACTAGCAAGATCATTAATAACATAACCACATCGGAGACAAAACAGACAGAAGTTAACAGAAAAATCTTAATTCACCAATCACTTTCAAATCATCAGGACAATCAATTAAATTTCAAGTAGGCATGCTCAATTTAATGAAAAGCATAAAAATTTCACTTCAAATCAGTCATGCTCGTGTAAAACGGGTTTAGTCCCGCCACCACTTCAAAAACAAGTCAAAACATGCTTTTAAAAACTGTACGAGTATTACCATAAATTTACTTACCTCACTTGCATAAAACCGAAGACTCGATCTCAGTGCTAAACTGACAGAACGATCAGGAACCTAATCAAAATATCCAAGAATTAATTATCGTACCACGGATTCAAAAGTAAAATCACCACAACTACCCATTAATCACGATGCTATTCCTATCAATCTTCACATTACTTGACATCTCCAAATTATTCTTATATTACAAACTAAACATTTAAACCTTCTTATCATTTGCCATTAGTGCGTGAACAGTATTTGTGAACAGTGCCGTGAACAGTGCTCCGCCGTGAACAGTACTACAACTTCCAAAATTGGCCAAAACACTAGCTAATTCACGGGATTTTCTCCACAAATCACAACAGTAGCTAATTAACACTCAATCACATAAATCCCACTTGAATTAATGCTTAAACTTTGTCCTAAAACTATCGGAATTCATCCCCAATTTTCAACCAAATTCGGACAATACAGCCAGCAAATAAATGGCTAATTTAGGGCTTAAAGAAGTGGCCATCATACCAGAATTTAGCAGCTGCAAAACCGGGCCTAGCAGGAGGGAGAAGCCGGCGGGAATCTGCAGGGGCAATTCACGGGGCTTGCAAAAATTGAAGGAACCGAGAGCAATTAAGGTAAACCCAAGGCAATTCAAGCAAGAACAAAGGAATTAATGGTTGTTGCTTACCGAAAATTCAAAGGAATTTGCACCCACAACCGGCAAGAGCAGCAACCGGACAGAGCAGAGCAGATCCGGATGCTTTCCTGCAGGGGGAAGATTTCAAGGCTCCAATCTTGTTCTTGAACAAGAAAAGAAGAGAAAAATCCAAGCTTCTTACCGATTTCTCTCAAGGGAAGGTTGCTGTCGGTGGCTGGGCTTTATTCGGTGCAGGGGAAGAAAAAGAAGAAGAGCAGAATCGGGAAATGGCTAGGGAAGAAGGAAGAAAAAATACCCGATCCTTATCCAAATTTCTACTCTTTTAAGTCCTTCAATTTTGGACATTTTAGCTAATAAGTCCCAAAACAATATTTCCTCACAATCAAGTCCTTAACTAAGTACTAAATATCACAAAATTTTGGGGTATTACAAGGATACTTTTCTCCTTGCTTAAATATTCCTTCAGTCAGTGATTGAGTCCTTTTATCGAGCTTTCTTGAGGAGCAAATAGATGTGAAACAGCCCCTTTTGCAAATTAGATCTTCAACCACTTTTTCTACAGTTTCTTGGTCTGCTTTCTCTAGCCAAGCTTTAACTTCCTCCTTTGCAATCTTCCCAGGCTGTGTAAGCTGAGCATGCAGTCCTTTTTCAACGTCTTGCCGTCGGTGCTTCAGCTGGGTTTGCATTTCTTTGAATTCAGTGACATAATCATTGTGACATATCTGATACTTGACATATTTCTTAAGTGTAGGTACAACATCCTTCTCAATATCCATGACTAGTCCTACGGCATCCATTACAGAGTTCCTGCATTTATGAAATTGTTGGATATAAGCTAATCATGCGTTAAATGAAAGAAGGATAAGAATAAAAGTGTTTAGGAGAAAAACAACTTGAGTTGGAAATTAATGGTGGAAGTACATGAATGATTAATTTATTTGGTTTTTATAAATTTAGTAATTATTAAAAATTAAAAATTTATTTTAAAAAAGTTTTAACACTGATAATAAAAAAATATAAACTTGTTTAATAGTGATAAAATTATTTTTATTC